ATCCATGCCAACTCCGCGTCGGGAGCCAAGATTGGGGACAGACGAGGCCCCACACGCAACGTAACTCATCCAGCTTGAAAAAGGCAATTTGGGGGGAACCAGCTCAAGGGGGAACCATCGAGCTTGAATCGGCGATGCATCGCCGAAGGATCGGCGCTAGCCGCCGACAGCGAAGAAAACACAGTCCTGGGCGGGGTGGGCTATTTCGGCGATAGGTCGGCGATTGGGGGTCGATGCGCCCCCCTCTGGGGCCTATCCCCCCCTACAGGTCCTCCTCCTCCTCCTCCTCCTCCTCCTCCTCCTCCTCCTCCTCCTCCTCCTCCTCCTCCTCCCCCTCTGCGAGCGCAGGGTTCTGCGCGCGTCGTGCACGCGGCGCCCGGAGGGGCGTGCCAACCGCGCCTCTCGAGTCCAGGATGTGCGCGCGTGAACCTGCAACATTGCTGCCGCCGTAGCAGCTCAGGTGCAGCCGAACCGCCCATGCGCCACGGGGGCGATGATGCCGCAACGCTCCCCCGGAGATTCCACGTCGCCGGGGTGGGGGCAGTGCGTCCGTTCGTTCGCACAGGCACACAGGGGAAGCGTGCTCGCACGACGCAGGCTCAGCGGGGGAAGCTGCTCGCCGCGCAGGAAGCGGCAATCACTGCGGAGAGAGCACAGTCAAGCATCGATAAGGGGCCACTGGACAATTACGTTGCTCAGCACTTGCTTTCCAAATGTGTTGCCCGTGCGCTGCAAAACCTGCAACAGAACTATTGGATTGTTTTGCTCCGGAGCGACGCAGGCAGCTGCGCGCCGTCAAAACAAGTCGTAAAGTGAGGGTCAGGCACAGCGCAACACGCGGGAAAATTGACAAACGATGCACAGCGGCAACGCGGAGGAGGGAGAGAACGACGACAACAGAGGCAGAAGGCGAAAGAAGAGAACCGAGGGAGACAAGGAGAAGAAGACGGGCGCGCAGGATATCAGGCTCAGGCGACGTCTAACAGGAAGTACCTTGCCGAAGAGCGGGAACTTGGAATACGGCGGGGGCGACGTCCAGACCAGCAGGCCATCTATTAAGCCACGTGGTGGGCGCTTTCCAGGATCCGCCAGGGGCAAGGGCACGCGCCAGGAGCGACGTGGGGACGGGCCAGAACGGTAGCCCAGCGGCGACAGGGACGAATCAGCCCAGCAGGGGCCAACGATCGAACCCGCGACATGCCGACTTCTTGTTGCTGGAGCGACTCTTGACATGGGCCGATCCTTGAGGGCCTCTGGGCGCGCAGCACGGGCGGGCGACGACCGCGCGTCGTCTTCTGCGGAACGGGAAAATGACCACAGCCACTGCTTCATGTTTGCGCCGCCTTCCAGCCGGCCGAAAAAGAAGCAGTGGTTGTGGTCATTTCCCTGGTGCCAAGCTTAACGAAAATTACCACAACCACTGTTTTGTTTCTGCTGGCTGGAAGGCGGCAAGCTGGTGGTTGTGGTCGTTTTCACGTCCCGTATGTTCCCCCCCGCCACACGGGGCAATTTCCGGGGCGGCAGTGCTCGGCAGTGCTTCGCGCTGCTTTCCGGCTGCTCGGCCCTGCTTGGAAGTATTGCGTGGCGCTGCTGGGCAAACGAAAAAAAAAGCCGTGAACAGAAACTCTTGGCGCTCCGCGCGGATCTCTTGGATCTGCGCGGGACCCCTGGGGCCAGCGCGGATCCATGACATCCGCGCGGACCGCCACAAGTTTACCCATCGGTCGCAAGAAGTGGGTAGAACCATGAAACAGGAAGGCGTTGGAAGTAGATTGGGTTTCCGCCCAACTCCTGAAGAGGAGGGAAGAAGGAAACCCACTCGACTCCTGAAGTAGGAAGGCGGCTGAAATAGGTTGGGAACTAAAAATCCAAAAACACCTGCCTTCAACGACCGTTGGGTATGCTTATGCCATCATTTAACTGCTCGAGCTGCGCTGCGTGGCCCTGCTTGGCCCTGCTTGGGAGGCGTTGCGGGGCGCTGCGTGGCCCTGCCTGGCACTGCCCGGCACTTGGCCTGGCACTGCCTGGCGCTGCACGGGCCCTTCGGGGCCACCCGAGGACAAGGCTGAACCTAAACGGTGTGCTTCGTTTCCGTTTCGTCTTCGTTTGCCCTCGTTTTGTCTTCAAAGCCGCCTTCCCCGCAGAGCGACGTCGAAGCGGAAACGGCCCACGAAATCACCACAGACACCGTTTGGGTCAAGCCCTGCCCCAGGACCCCTCTAGGCAGCCCCGAGGGAGCGCTGGGCGACCCCAGGAAGGGAAGGGGGCCCAGGGACACACCAGTGGATAGACGCAAATCCCAGGTTTCCCCTTTTGTTCCCATGTTTTCTGGACCTTCGTGTTCCCCCCCCCCCCCCCCCGAGGATGGTGTTCTTGGCGCGCCGATGACGGCAACACCAATCCACTTTCCCTCTGGGACCGCGCCCCCTGCTCCAGTCCATGGCGTACCTTGTCCTGTGCAAGATCTTCGGCACCGCCTGTACTCTGCACCCTCCGGCCGCCTGAGGCCCCGCCCGCCCGCGCCCGTTCTCCCCAATTAGGGCTTCGCGCGCACCGCCTAGCTCTTGACCGGAAGGGGCCCGCTCCCGACCCGCCGACCAAAAAGTGTTTCCCCGCCCCCCCGCTTCCCATGTTTTCCAAAATTCTCCTGGGACCGACGATTCTTTACGTTTCGCGTGCGTTTCCTCCTGAAAGAGAAATAACTTGGATCCACGAGGCTTCCACGCCACACAGTGGATCACGTGATTCTCGCACATGCATGAAGGACTCAACATGGCCCCGTGCCCTTTCACGCAGAGTTTTCGGCCTGGAAATGCATGAGGTAGGAAATGTATGCTCTACGTAAGCTATGTGCTGAAAGACAGACGGTTCAAAACCACATCGCCTCGCCCTCGCTAACACGTGACTCGCTGCAAGCCGGCGTTGGCCCGTGGACCGGCGCTAGAAAACCTTCCCGAGCCTGTAGATACAAATGTTTTCGCCATTGCGGGAAGGCCGAGGGTAGACTGCCATACTTGCTCGCTGGCTCGTTAATGCTCCTCTCGCGCATGACGTTCACTCTTTCTGCGCCCATGCACGCATCTATATATATATAAATAAATGATCTCACATTTCATTAATATTGCTGCTGATCGGATGCGCTGTTCGATAAGAGCGATGGATATAAAAAAAACGATGCCCACACTCCGTAGCATCAGGCCGAGCATGTGTCGGACTCGACGCGTTTCTCCCCATCCGCAGTTTGCTGAACCATCATGTCCTCGATGATGGTCGCTGGTTCAGGGGCTCCTCCTGGGCCTCACAAGGACGGGATCAATCCCCCAATGCGGGCGATGCTTCTGCTCAGCAGCGGCTAGTTCAACATACCGTACCGTCGATTGACTGACTGGTCCGAGCTTGAATCTAGTTCTGCATGCGCTGAGCTCGGTCTACGCGCCTGGAAATTTCGTGTGCAATCTCGGAGACCTTTGTTTCAGGCTCCAGATTCTGCCTCTGCAACGATAGTGCCTCAACATTTCGAGCCAACGTGGAGTCATCATCTCTGTTGCAAGGAATTACTGTGAGACTGCAGCGCCACACACTGTCAGTTGGAGGTCGCTTTAAATGTTCGACAAAGTTGATCCATTATGCTGATCATCTGCTACCCGTGGTGTCAATTTTCCCTCCAGGCCTCGGTTATACTTCAGGATCTGATCTTCCCAGACATGCGATGTCTGGATGTGTTCAGTCTTCATGGGGCGCCCGAAGGTCAAGACCCGTTCCCCAGGGTCAAATTCTCGCCCCGAGAAACTTGACGGTCCCGGGGCCCAGCGAGGGCCCTCGGAGGCCGAAAGCGGCCACAAGCCTCCCACCGTGACGTTTTGCACGACGCGAGCACGTCTGGGCCAGACCGCCTCCAGGTGCCCCCCCTCCAGGGGAAAAAAAGGCTCCGCTCTGACCTCCTCCCATGTGGGGCGAACGAGTACCACCGGGATCTCGACGTCTCAATCCCAGCCAGGGTTTTCAGACAGTCCAGATGGGCTGGAGGCCGAGGTCGATTTCTAGCACTCTGAAGGTCAGGCGGCCTGCGCCCCGCGTCCGCAGGCACTCGCGGTGGACGGCCTGTGGCCCCGTGCTTCGCGCCGTCGGCCCGGCTCCTAAGGGCATTGGACGCCGGCCAGCGCGCCCCCAGAGCACCCACACGCCCTGGGGGGGGGAGCACCAGGGCATTGGAGCGACAGCCCTGGGAGGCATCTGCTGGGAGGTCCTTTCTAAGGAGGGGAAAAAACACACAGACACAATTAATCGTCTATTCCCCGGAAAAAAATCAAAAGAAATATGGGAAGTGGAGGGGGAGACAAAAACCCCAAAAATATGGGAAAATATGGGGGATCCTTTTATTTGTGTCTATTTATTTGTGTGTCCCAGGCCCCTTCACTTTCATAACGATGAAGGGCCATCAAGCCCAAGCCCGAGTAAGGGGCCACCGAGCCCGACCAGGCCGGATTGAGCCGAGGGTGGAGCACGGGATCGAAAGAAACTGAGCGGGGTCAAGCTGGGTTGAGCGAGCTTAAATCAGATCAGGCCAGTTTTCGACAAGCGATATACCAGCGCCCACGGGGGGCATGGCGACAACGGCTGGCACGGCGACCCCAACCTCCGACTTTGGAGGAGGAGGAGGAGGAGGAGCAGGAGGAGGAGATGGAGGAGGAGGAGGTGGAGGAGGAGGAGGAGGATGGAGGAGGAGGAGGGAGGAGAGGAGAGGGAGGAGGAGGAGCAGGAGGAGGAGACGAGGAGGAGGAGGAGAAAGAAGAGGAGGCGGAGGAGCAGGAGCAGGAGGGCCAAAAATTTTGCGCCAGACTCGGGGATGTACCATAGGGGGGGGGGGCGTCCATCCTCGATGGGGCTGTGCCCGAACAGCCCCCCACGGGTGCGGAGGAGGAGGAGGAGGAGGAGGAGGAGGAGGGGGAGGGGGAGGCAGGAGGAGGAGGAGGAGGAGGAGGAGGAGGAGGAGGAGGAATCCCCGAGTTCACCCTCGTTGTTTCTCGTGTTCCGCCTGCGGATATCGTATGGCAATCAAGCGCCACCAGACTTTTGCATGATGGGGCTGCACGGGGTAGTTTCTGAAAACTGCAACCGGGAGTGCGCATCTGGCACGGCAACAGAAGTTCAAGCTTACAGCGCCTGGGGGAGATGCTGTTATTAGCACTCCCATCCTGTGGTCACTGCTCAGAAGGGTCGTGGCACCATCCGGCAGTGGCGTCCCGACCAAGGTGGAGGAGGACGAGTAGGGAGAATATGACGGGGTGGCCGGCGACAACTTATGTGCCCCCGGGCCCCTCGGGGTCGCCGCGTTCAGCTCTACCGACCAGCAGAGAAGCAGCCGCTACAGCAGAGAGTAGTTCCTGGCCCTGGGGGCCAGGAACAGGGGGCGAAGAGCATGCAGGACAGATGCGGAATGAGAACGCAAGCAGGGGCCCCAGGCGTGGTCTGGCTTGGGCTTTGCACCTCACGTGAGCCCCGAGCAGGGCTGCCGTGCATCCTCAACTATCCGCCTTGGGCGGCTCTTCATCCTTCTTGCCTGTGCCGGGCACCAAGTTCCTGAGCTCCTTGGGCACGGTCTCCGCGTCCACTCCCAGCTCCTCGCACGCGATGAAGCATTGGAGGCTCGTGTCGATGGCCAGGTGAAAGACATTCATGTAGAGCTTCCCGACCACGTAGCCGTTCAGGAGGAAGAGCAGCGTGGGACACAGCGGGGAGACGTCGGGGTACATCGTAGTTTGGATGCAGTACCCAACAAAGGTCGTCGCGGAGCAGATGACGAGCAGCCCGATGCGATCGAGCGCGGCGCCCAGGATCAGGACGGAGGCGAAGCGCGCCATGTGGCGGAGGACCAGGTAGAACGCCTTCTTCGCAGACGTGCAGAAATTCTTGCCGAGCAACGCAATCTGGATGTAGGCTAGCTTGTTGAGGTACTCCAGGCTCTTTTCGAAACAGTAGATGCAGCACTGGATTGCCCTAGCGACGTACACCATGACGCGGTTCTTCCTCGCCTCAGCCTGCTTCTCCAGGAACTTCATGCAGTACCGAAGGAACTGCACCACGGCGATGATGAAGGAGCCGAAGGCGAGGCTGCCCATGTGGTACCGGGTGGTGTTCCACACGGACTGTCTGAGCGCGCCCCGGACCCTGCCTCCGTCCTGCTGGTTGAAAAACCAGACGCCGACGGCGCCCGCAATGATGGTCTGGCCGGCAGCGATGACGAAGGCGTTGATCCATAGGTAGATGAAGAACACGTAGGCAACATAGTAGTCGATCATGTACCGGGGCGGCTGGCAGCGCCAGCACTCGCCGTTCGGGCCTCCGCAAGTCTCGTCCCTCCAAGTCTCGCTGACTGGGTACCCGAGGTCGCCGGAGCCGTCGTAGGTGCAAGCCTCCCACGCCGTGTTGTAATCCGCGTACCAGTCCGTCGGAGTATAGCCGTCGGGCACCTGAGAGATGATGAACGCCGCGCCGCAGGCCCAGCCGATGCACCACAGGATCGTGAAAACGGACTGCACCATCGGGACGACCAGGACGCTCGGCGTCGAGGCGAGGAAGCGAGCGGCCACCTTCGTGCAGCGAATCGCCAGGAGTATCTTCCGGAAGAAGACCAGCACAATGATGACCCAGAGACCCGCTAGACCGAGGAGGACATAGCAGGCGTACAGCAGTACGTCCCTCCCAGTCTGGCCGCTCACGGCGTACCCCTCCGAACACACGGGCGCGTCCAGGCCAATGGGAAGGCACTCCTGCCAGCGTAGGTCCGTGTTCGTGGTGAAGCACCAGATCGTGGAGCCCTTGTTGTAATCTGTAGGCATGTACGGATTGCGGCAATAATTGTGGTCGCCGATGCCCTGGTCGGAGTAGTCCCCTGAGGTCCCGTAGCTTTGGTTGTGCGGGGAGACGGACATCCAGTTCTGGCACAGGGTGCCGTACATTGTCATGTACTGTACCCCTCTGTATGTGTTGCCATCAACACCGAGATCCTCGCTGACAGTGTCGCCCGATATGGCTTGGTTGACTGTAGTCGTTGCGAATGTGACCACCTGGGTGCCCGTCTGTTGGCCCGTCTCGAACAGCGTAGCGCCGGCGCACTGGATGCTCTTCACGTAGCAAAGGCCGGAAAAGGCAAGGATCAGGACGAGTATCAAAAAGATTGAGAGCCAGACGCAGACGCCGACAAAGAAGCGGACGAGGACGAGGAACACAATGCCGATGACAAAGGAGCAGACACCAGTGAGCGCAAATGCACCCCACGACGCCTGAATGGCGCCCCACTGCTCCCCCAAGGACGCAGTTGCGCCATTGGAGAAGTCGGTGAGCGCCGAGCTCACCATGATGTCGGTCAGGGCGGTTCCAAGCTGGTCAACCACCGCAGCAGCCATCTCGAGCGTGCAGTAGTTCAGCGCCGCCTCCGAGAAGATGAGGCCAGGCATGGGCACGCAATATACCGCGTCGTATGGGCAGTCATCTTCCGAGAAGGCCTTGAAGGTGAACGAAGAATTGGCAACTGTTCCCAGGACGCCAGTGTCTGACTTCACGAGTTGCCACGCAAGATAGAGCTCATCGTCTGGAACAGGTTCAAATGTGTACTCCCGGTACGCATACGCGGCGGTGCTGCCGTTGGCTGCCGCGATGTTTTCGTAGCTGGAGTCGCAGGTCTGCATGCAGACGTGATGGAGGTACTTTGTCGCCGAACTCATGATGTCCGTAGAGAACAAGTCCCCGTTTGCCCCAGAAGCGCTGAACAGGTCGGTGACGTCAAGGGACCCGAGGCCGGTGACCTCTATCATCCTGGCAGCGGTCAGATCAGCGAGGTCGGCGGCGGTGCCACCCGACACTGCTGAGGGGTCTGCCTGCTCAATGGCGCCGTCGCAGGACTCGCAGGCGGTGGCGCAGCAAGAACACATGTACATGTCGTACTGGTCAGAGGAAATGCCGCTGCCGATTTTGGTGTAGAGTAGATCCTGGGCTGCCTTGGAACAGATGAACTGCTTAAACATTGCATCCGTGGTTGCAGACACGTTCATCGTCATGGTCCGCCACTCGTAGCTCTCCAGCGACTTCGCGTTTCCCATCATGCCGCTCCACTGCGTGTCGACGCCACAATAATTTCCCGCAAAGTCTCGTGGCTTGTACAGCTTGTCTATGTTGCCATCCGAAAGGCCCATGAGGGTCACAATCACGTAGCCGACAATCGCCACGATGAAGATGATGCAGCAGGGGAGGTCGGTGCAGGCACGGTTGCCGGCGGGGCCCTTGGAGATGTCATTGTCTCCGTCCTTTGTGAACGCCTTTGTGGCCTTCTCCTGCCTCAGGGCCTTCAGGTCCCGATCCTGCTCCCCCCCAGCGCAGCAGCAGCAGCAGGCCAAGTAGCACGACGCGCAGCAGCCCACTGCCTGCGACTCGCTGCGCCCCTCGGCCTCTGCGGCAGGCTCGTCGCTGGGCAGCGGTGCCGTGCGGGCGGGCGGGGAGGCGGGCATCGTGGGTCTGCTTGGCGCGCCTCTGCTGGATCCGATGCGCTTGAGCCAAAGTGGCTACACCCCCCCCTCTTTGCTGAGCGGCCTGGTGCTTGGAGGGAAGCTCAGGGAAAGGGGGCGAGAACTCGCCTGCGAGGCGGCAATCCCTGAGGTCCAGCAGACTGGAAAATCAGAACCTCGCGACACGTTCAGGACAAGACGTCATCCTTCCCACCACTTCTCGAGCCTGATCGGTCCGTGATGGTCCCGAGACCGCCGGGATCTGACGAACCCGCTCACGTGGAGGCATCAGCACTGGGCCAGCAGCGGACGGGGGGCAGGCAGGGCGAGGCCCGCCCTGGCCCCCAGAGCAGGCAGGGGGGGGGGAGGCAGGGGGGCAGGCAGGGGGGGGGGGGGGAGCGCCAGAGCAGCGCATCGGAGCGACATCCCAAGCACGCGGCGGCATCAGCGCTGTAGGCAGGAGCGGGACAGGGGAAAAAGAGGGTTGACCGACGGCGCGAGCACAAACTGTCGGAGGTCCGCCCGGAATGTTTGGATCGGCACTGGAACCCTCTTCCCGGCGCGCGGAGCGCGCCAAGGGCGGCGCCGAAGGCGCCGCCAGAGGGTGCCAGTGCGCCAGTGCCGACCCGAGAAATCCGCACGGAGCTCCGCAGGTTTATGCGTATGCGGCGTTTTCTCCCCTTCGAGGCGAAGGGCGTTCATGGCGTCAGGCCAGGGTGAGGCTCTGTCTACCTAGAGGCCTCCCCGATAAGGGTCGGAGTAGATGGAGTCGGAGGATCGCGCCGCATCGTCGATAATGTATCGGCGACGTAGGTGTGGAGAAAATCGGGGTCCACACCGAGCCGCATCGTCTATGCATCAGCGATGCGGCGTGATCCTCCGACGCCATCTATTCTGACCCAATTTGGGAGCCTTGCGACCAGGAGCGGCTGCTTAGTGTGTCGCGACAGCGGCCCTGGGACACGGTATGCTTTGCAAGCATATAACGTGCCAGAACGGCTTCGGACACAACTGGGGGGAGGAGGAGGAGGAGGAGGAGGAGGAGGAGGAGGAGGAGGAGGAGGAGGAGGAGGAGGAGGAGGAGAAAGAGGAGGAGGAGGAGGAGGAGGAGGAGAAAGAGGAGGACGACGAGGACGAGGAGGAGGAGTTTAGGGGGGCATTGAGGGCAGCAGGCAGGGAGGTGCTGGATGGGGGGGCGGCAGAAGGAGCACGTAGAGCAAAGTGCGGGGATGGCGGGGGCGATGCGCTGCAGATGCAGGACGCAGGCCGTCGCACGGATGCGAGGGGCCCTCTCAAGAAAGGCCCGCCCTTGCGCCTATAGCGGCCTCTCAAGGGGCAGGCGAACGCACAAACACACAACTCCGCCCCCCTCGTCAATTCGCCGTTTTACTGGTCCCTCGCGTCCGACTTTTATACGCACTGCCCCCCCACACACACACATACACACACACACACGTGCATACACACACAACACACACACACACACACACACACACACACACACACACACACACACACACTGCTGCAAAAAAAACACTCCTGCCGGGTCTGTGGGAGGGCGCGCATCCAATTCCATGCTCGGATTGTTCGCGCTGCGGTATCAGTGCCTGGTTCGCTCCGCTACCATTTTTTTTTCAGGGGGGGTCCAAGGGTCACTGGGCACCCCAGGTGGAGCGGGCAAACCTGTTTTATCGGATTGGGCTGTACGACCCACACATAACACACAAACACACACGCACACACAACCCAAATGCTGGCACGGATGTGAGTGATGGATCATTCGACCTTATCTTGCTCGTAGTCTACTCGCGAGCCGAGCACATCTCACACAAACATTGCACACGGCATGCAACATATAGTGTAGACACACGTTATCAAATCCCGAAGCAAATTACAAGACAGCTCGCCGCTAGGGCCCCACCGCCAGCCAAAACGGCGAGCATACATCGGGCGTGGCCCCGCACGCATTCGAATGCCCATACTTCGTCCTTGTACTACTCGTCTTCTTCCCCGTCCCCCTCCCCATCCGGATCGTCGTCGTCGTCCTCCTCCACGTCCTCGTCATCCTACTCGTCCTCCTCCTGCTCCAGCTCCTCCTCGCCGCCCACGTCTCAGACCTCGTCCTCGTTTCTCCTCTTCATTATCCTGCTCATCCTCCTTCTACTGGCACCTAGGTTGCGCAATAGGTTGCGCCCTCTGCAACGTTGAATTTTCTCCTCCCTCGGCAAGGCGCGCAGCGCACCCGACCCGCTCCAGCCTCGGCGCGCAGCTGGCGGCCCGTTCGCCACCACGGAGGCGCCCGCAAACCGCGGGCCTTGAACGTTGCTGAACGCGGGGCTGGTTGCCCGCGCAGCACCTGAAAGAGAGCGAGGTGTGCGCGAGCTCAATCACGTGGCAGATGCTTGCCCGACCTTGGATCCAGCCTTCTGCGGATCTTGTCGGCCTTTCTCTCGCGCTCGGCTTGCGCGGGGGCCTTCTTCGCCTTCTCGCACTGGCCCGACAGGCCGCGGTGCTTCCCCTTGACCTCCTTGGCGTGCCTGGCTACAGCGCACGCACACCCTTCAGCCGAAGAAGGTCCGCACCTCGCGGCCCTTGGCATCGGCCTCATCCGTGGCACCCGAGCCCGTGCACTCGGAGAACTGCGGGATGGGCGCGCTCGGCTGGCTGTCCTCGATCGGCGCAGCGCCGCTGCTGCTGCTGCCGCCGGCAGGCGCAGTGGCCCCCTCATCCAATGCCTCGCACTGCGCCGCCGCCGCCGCCGCAGCCAGGGCTGCTGCCGTCGCCAGCGCTGAAGCCGCCTGGCGCTTCCGAGCACCGCTGACAGCGTCTGGCGCGAAGGGCTTGGCGCGGCACTCGCCTGCCATCAGCAGCCGATTGGTGCCCATCTCGGTGAAGGCGGTGCGCAGGCAGCGGCGGCAATGGGCGCCGCCCTCGATGCAGACCACGTCGTGCTGCACCACCGTGATATTGGGCCATTTGGCGGTGGGCTCGCGGCAGCCGTCAGTGAAGCCCCCCTGAGCTGCGCCGCCTCGGCACCAGCCACTGCGATCCAGTAGACCATGGCGTCCAACGGGAGCTCTCTCGTCCTCCGCGATTCGCGAGCCTCAGCTGGCGCCCTGAAGTGCACCGCCGCGTACTTCGCGCACCTGTCCGCCTCGTGGTTGCCTCGGCGCCGTCGCAGCGAGATCCTGCCAGCGTCCACGTCGGCGAACGCCCCGTGACCTTTGACCTTCAGGATGGCGAGGCCGCCGCTGCCGACGCCGCCGAACTCGCTCAAGGCAAACCAGATCCTCCTCCAGATCACGGCCCAGGCAGCTTTGTAGGCGGTGGTGCCCTCGCGCCCTCGCTCGAGCAGGCCGTCGACCACGTGGGGGGCGTCGAAGCGGGCTCGGGCGGGCGAAACCGAATGGCGAAGGATGGCCAGCAGCGCGAGCAGCTCAGCACCGTTGGCGGTTTGCAGCGGCCCAGGCAGCGGCGCCCCCAAGGCTTCGACGCACGAGCGAGGCCCAGGCTCGGCCCCCTCGTCGCCAGGTGGGAGCTCCACTGCTGCGCGCGCCTACATTGCCATCGAGGTGCCCGCCTCGTAGCAGCGGCCGTCGGCGAAGACCTCGGTATCCATGAAGGGCATGACGTCGTCTTTGATCCGTTGCAGCCCGTCCAGCAGGTCGCCGCCAGGGGGGCCCCGCGAATGCAGCGGCTCCGCCAGTAGCAAACGCCCAACCAATGGCGGCGATGGTGATGCTGGATTGAAAGCACATGAACTTGGCGATCTCGGCGGGCAGGGAGAGGGGCGGCCAGGCTTCCTCGCAAAACAAGTGCCTGTGCCAGAGCGCGCACTCCTCCCTGGGGCGGCGCCGGTAGAGAGGGGTCGGCGCCAGGCGCGGGGCCGCATCGCACCTCCGCTTGTTGAGCCACTGCTGACCACCGCGGACCTCGCGTAGCTCCTCTGCGCCTCATTGAGCGGGGTCCACTTCCTGCTCTCGTACGTCGCGCCCTTGCCGTTATGAATCCAGCGTCGCACCTGGGGGAGGAATGCCCCGTTGGCGATGTCGCTGTGGGCGTCGCGCGCCAGCTGCTGCAGCTGCCACCGGTTGACGTCCACCTTGAGCACCTACTTGGTGTACCACGGAGGGGCGTCCACTACGTGGTAGGCGCCCGAGTCGCGCGGCCTGTGCCAGGTCTCGAAGTCCTGGAGCTGGTAGCCAACGCGCTTGAGGGAGAGGATGGCTGCTCCCAGCGAGCCTCTCACCTGCGTCCACAACTCGATGCCCTTGAAGTGGCTGCAGGTGGCCTTGAGGGTGTTGAGCGGCAGCCAGCGCTCCCAGATGGCCCTGGACAGGGCGCGCACTGGCGCATGCAGGCCGCAATGGACTTCCCCTGCGGGCGAGGCTCCACCGCCTTGAGGACCAAGGCCAGCGTCTGCTTCAGCTCCTAGTCGGACATGCCTGTGCAGGAGGTGCCGTAGGCGACACTGGGGATGATGCCAGTGTAGGCTACCTTTGCTGCCGCTTGCCGTCCTCGCCGAAGTCCCAGCAGTCGTCGAAGCCGCGGGGGCCGCTCGCGAGCCTGCTTGAGCCTCGCCTTCCTGACCTCGGTGTTGCGCTTGCCAGCCTCGGTGTGGTCCACGCTTAAGTTCCGAGCGTGGGAGGCCCCGATAACTCCAGCACTCTGGAACAGCTTGTTCTGGATGCGCTTGCGGAGCTCCGCGTTGGAGGCCAGGGCCCTCGACTTCTTGGCAGCGACCTTGGGCTTCATCTTGGCGAGCTCCTTGACAAGGATTTTGGCAACCTGGGCAAGGTCCTGCTCGACCCTGTCGTTGCCTCCCCAGCGCTGGAGAACCAAGTCGTCGACCACCGCCGCTGGCACCGCAGAAGCCTGCCTGCGGTGGAGTGCGTCCAGCGGCCCAATGAGCATTATCTTCATGAAGGGGGTGGCGAAGGCGTCGCCGGCGAGCGCCGTCTGCACGACGTGCAACTCGCCGGAGCAACAACATTCCAGGCTGACCACTCTCGGCACGCGGTAGAGGGTGATCTGAAACTTGGCCAAAAGGGGAAGTTGC